GGATAAAACTATAAAACATGCATTATGATGAAAAACAGGCAGCCATGGCCTCTGTCAGTCAAAAGTGGATGACTTGCAAGACCTAGACTGACAATCTTATTCTGCATTTCGTTTTACAAAGAACTGCAAAAAACTAATCGCTGCAATTTGTTCAGCTTGAGCAAGAGTGCCATGCCTTGACCGGAGGGCATTGTTTAACCAAGTGTGTCCTTTACAGTGTGATAAACATAAAGTTTTCTACATTTTTTAAGGAAAGCTGTTCATGCATTGATAAAGGCTTTTCCTGTCCCAATACAGAATGTAATATTGATTTCAGGCTAAAAATGTTTGCCCAATATCTTGCACATGAAATGAATGATGCAGTCGGCTAAATTGAGCCACCCAAAGACATTTGGCAAAGTGGTAGCAATAGTAATAATTGTTGGGCATTTTACTTTCTAAAATCGTAGCATTACAAGAGACCCTGCACTAGGCGGCTCTGGACATTTCGACTATTTGGGGTTTTACAAGATTCAACGACAATTTATTTTATTTATGTATTTTTATTTTAACATAGTAGTAACCCACTTTTGGGCTTCATTACAGGGAGGAAAAAAGTCGAACAACAGTGCATGTGCAAAGAAGACTCAAGTTAAATCAAATGTTAACAAAAAACAATACATATATAAAAATATTAAAATCAAGTGGCATAACAAACACAACACTGACTGAGCACATGAGCACACGACCTTTGGTTCAGTATTCGAACACCATAACCACCAGACCCCCGCAGTGGGTCAAGTGCTACCAATCACAGGGCTTGATGGTGCTCACCTTTGACATTGGAGTGCAACTGCGACCTTGCAGAGTTCTGCATATGTAACTTCTGTGGCTTTTTCTTGAGGACAGCACTTCAGCACTGCGCAGCAGTGCCAGAAAAAGCTGTAGCACATTCGCACTTCAAGCTACGATTGCTTTGACAAGCAGATGCATATTTGGCTGCCACTTGAAAAAACATGCCTGATCCCTCTGCCATAGCAATCTGTATAACACGAAAGCGAAACGTGTCTTCATAGAAGTGCTTATTGCGTAGCGATACACGAGGGCTTGTACAATTTCTATTGGCGTTTCGCAACTATAGCACCGTTGACGTGGACACAGCCACATTGAGGCGTAATGGCACGTCTCCATCACGACCACCCTAGATTTATTCTTTTGTGGTATTTGAAGTTTTTAACTTGTACCTGAATACAGCATGTATAATTAATCACGCAGAACGCTATCAACAAGCACACTATAAACACTGCTACTCAATATGTGCGCCTTCAAAGATCGTCAGTTATAGAGTGAAACAGAACGGTGTGCACTCCTGAAACCTACACCAGCACCCAAGCATACTGCACTTCAGCAGTGCAGGACGAGGAGGTTTGTAGCTTGAGTTGCGAACACGTGCTGATGTTGCACGTCCTGCTGGCCTCAGTTTTGCTCCATGAATGCACAACATTCACCGTCAATATCGTTGCCTTGCTGTAAAGCGGCGAAACATTGTTGGTGTATGTGGAAGCTGCACGACATCAACAACGAGCCTGTCACGCATTAGCACGAAGCGAAAGGCAAAAAACATGACTGCGTCGTTGACTCTCCAATGTTCACAAATGCCATACTTTAACTGCGTCATGCCACATTACGTCTCTTGAGCTCTCGCAGACTGCTGCAACCCCCACCCCCACTTCACCAACAGAAAGCACAGAGTGAGAGAGAATGTGTGGAAGATCTAAGGCGCATTCGTAGCAAGTCCAGCGATTGCCTCAATAGATCAGAGTGTAGAAAACTGGGTGCTTTTCGTTTCCCAAGGAGCCAGAGGTTTGACACAACGGGTAAGAAACTTTTTGTTGAATGCTTTTTCTTTCTCAATTGGTAGCATTATACAATGCCATATCCTCGACAGAAATACCTCACGGAAGCCTTGGTGGACCCTGGCATAGAATACTTTCGTGTTAAAATTTGAGTGCAACATGACAATGACCAAAGGTTCTTTTCCGTGGCGTACCAACTCTTTTGAGTGGGGGGGGGGGGCAGACTTACCTTACTCATAAGCCGATTATATATTGAGAGAGAGGACTTCACTGATGCACTTGCGGTTTTATGCGACTCTTCATCCCCACTAAACCTGCACTCTTCAAAACCCATCCGGTATCGCTTGCCTTCCACATCTTGGCATTTAGAAATACACCGCCTACTCCCCCTCTTGTTATATCTGCTTTCTTCTTATGTCTCATTCATAGGTTTTAGGGAACAGGTGTACACCGCTACTGTCGGCAACCCTTTTTGGTAGCCGGACGCGGTGACCATCTGCCGACTCTGAAGCTTTAAGCTTTTCACTTGTTCGTGTCTGAAGCAACCGCCCCTTTTGCAGCACACTGCTCCAACTTTGCGTTTTCTTTTTTTTTTTTTCATTCTCTTGTTTTTCCCCCCTCTCTGAAAACATTTTTGAATCACTACCACCTGACTCGAAGTGAAGGGAGGACTGCACTCTTCTCTTTATAATATTTTGCTTTTCAGACAGCGATCATCAACAGGGACATGCACCACTAAAATGATATGACGTCACCCCTAACCCCTTTAAAACTAACACGCCAAGGATGACACCGCGCCTTTGAAAAAGATAGGTCCCCCTATCGAAACGTCAGCCAGCCAGTCTGAAGCATATCACATCACCTGTTCATCTTATGATTATCCCACTACGTTGTTTCCATCTGTCGGCTCCCATAAAGATTTTAAATTTTCATGCACAGACCATTCTTAAATAAGGTAAAAAAAGGAAGCCAGTTTTTAAGCAGCATGCACTGGGATAGCACATATATACATGTGATGCATGCAACAGTTTACTAAGCGACGCTTTTTTATGCATTACCTAACAACTTTTCGCATGAACACACTTATGTTGATGGCAGCCTCTCTAACAGTATATAATTATATTACTCAATAAAATTTTAAATGTGAAGCAATAATTCGAAAGTCAGTGGTACTTTAAGCACTTATATCTACTTGTTTGGCCTGGTACGTCTTGCTGCTCTCGTTGCTTCATTACTTTAGTATAGACCAAAGTCTGCATAGAGGGGCATGAGATGATGTGTCTGGTTCAGACATAAGTAACGTGAAAAACATGTGTACGTCATGAAGCTCTTTCAGTCACGTGTCAAGTGCCCGTATACCACGGGCTGCAGGATGCGGCTATGCGCCTTCAAATTTGCATCTACCTAGAAGCGACGACAATAGCCGTCAGTAATTCAAACAAGAGAACCTTTAGAAAATACGGCCTGGGCAGTGTTTATCCGACGACTGCAAATAAGAAAAATCAGGATCTCAGCGAGAATCGAACCCAAGAATTCCGTATGGCAGTCATATATTTTGCCACAGAACCACGCAAGGTCTTGAATCTGCTTTGCAAAAGGCACACACCAAGTGGGTACAAAGTGAGTATGGTTAAAGTGCGAACTATGTAAGTTTATAACAAGAAGATGAACATTATGTATATACTCCTGCCTTAAACTACCCCTCACTGCTTCCTTTCAAAGTGGTCGTTAGCTGTATATGATTGGCTTGAATATGCTGTGTCATGTACACAGCACTAGCTCGTTACGTGAGGCAACAATGATTGATTTGATATGTGGGGTTTAACGTCCCAAAACCACCATATGATTATGAGAGACGCCGGAGTGAAGGGCTCCGGAAATTTCAACCACCTGGGGTTCTTTAACGTGCACCCAAATCCGAGCACATGGGCCTACAACATTTCCACCTCCATCAGAAATGCAGCCACCGCAGCCGGGATTCGAACCGGTGACCTGCGGGTCAGCAGCCGAGTACCTTAGCCACTAGACCACTGCGGCGGGGCAGATTAAAGTTGAATGCTTTGTTTTTGACAATTCCAGTACGGCGAAACTAAATAATCGAAAAAGATTCTTAACACTCATCGGCTCACAGCAGCTTCGACGGAGTAGTGGTGATGCTATTCCTTTTCGGTGAAAGAAAACTACTTCACAGAAGCAGTTAATGAGTTAATGCTTTGACCAATTGATAAAGAGATAAATTGATCGGCCAGTTACGGCATGAACAATCATGAACAAGTAATGTAATGATATAGGGCCCCTGTTTCCCACTAGCCTGCTCTGCAATGCTACAGCACAAGGCGCGAAAACGCCGCATAGATGGCCCGTACTGCAAGGAGCTTCTAAGGAAAATCGTTGCAGCAGAAATGGTGGCATAGTTTGACTATATTGTAGCGTTCCCTTGTAAAAATATAATTGAGCGATTACTGTGGAGAAGAAAAAAGATCACCTCACTTGGTTTTCTCAGTGTGCAGCCGATAGTGACCACTATGGAAAGTGGGAGGGGGCTAGCATCCCCTTGCCCTTCCACCCCCCCCGCCCGGCTGATATGCCTATGGTTCTTTTACGCATGCGACCAACACCGGTAATTTGGCCATTTGCAAGTGGTTACCGAAGACACACTTCAGGCAACTGATGTTCACACCGGCATGCAACTTATAGTTGTCAACACATTGAATTCACGTCTGCTAACACACGTCGAATATTCATCAAAATAAGCAGATACTCTGTTCCTGAATATGTGACTGGCACTGAGCTTTGCGACCAAGTTGTTTTAAACCAATGCAGCCATTTGCAATCAGCCACTTTTTCGCAGCCAAACTAGTCGCAAATGGGCTGGTCACATAACCAGCGTTCATCGTAGATGTGAACAAGCCTTAAAACATGAAATTATAGAATGAATGCTCTTCACTCTAATTTTGTTTGCTTCAGTCGTGCTTTCAATGGCTCCAATCGAGAACATGCTCCACATCATAGCTGACTCATAAAAGCCACCTGACATAGCACAAGTGCACTGCCAGATTGAACAAATGGTTGCTAAACATCGATGCCTGCGAATCAGCTGGAACTTTCTTAGCCAACTTGCTATAAGGCTTGTCTTTCCCAAGTTTCGAAGCAGAGTTATAAATATGCTTTGGGTAAACCAAAACGGAAACTTATTTATTGCGCAATAAAGTGAACTAAAATATGCACTCTCGCTGAGAATGTTTACAAAGAATAAGGCAAAACATATGGCAGTAGTATGTTTTTTTTTTTAGTTGAAGTAAAGACGCAAGCTATTGCTTTACAGTAAAGAACAAAATACGCCTCGCATGCAATGTCGACGTCACGGCAGGTATAACGTTTGCAATGTAACGACAGGGTAAACGACACGTCTTAAACGAGGCAGAAATGCACAAAACGCTCGCTGTTTAGATTCAGTCACAGACGCACAATCACTCACTCTGAATTTCAGCCAAATACTCATCGTACCAAGACCGGTATTCATCGGGTCGGGCGCCTATGAGTGCAGCTTCGATGGCAAGTTTGGCGTGTGCCTCCATGATTTCGAAACGATTGCGGTTGCCGTACCACAGCACTCTCGACAACATCACCCTGGCTGCTTCCCGCGCCCAACGTTCTTTGGCGGCAAGTAGGCAATGGCGGTACGCTTCCACCTGGGCCCGCCGAAGCATAGTTTCTTCGTTGAGGTCCGTCAGACAACGTATGGCATTAAGCGACAAGCGAAACCCAGCACGGGTCCAACGTATGACTCCAGTAGCGTATACTCGAGTCCCGGGCTCTGGTGACGACAGGTGGCCAGCGTTAGCCACTCGGCTTTCGAGGTACGCCTCCATGACGTCCGTGTCATCGTCCAAGGAGACGAGCCACGAGTCTGTATGAGCGAGGTACCTGCTGCATCGTATCGTGGCCACGGAGACGACTCGGGTGACGCGAAAGCCGCAGTAGTACGTCGCGCCGCTCGGTACTCCCGGGCGACAAGTCCGACCGCATTCTTTGAGGTCTCTGAAGCTCAGAAGACTACGGCAGCTCTGGCAGTCAGTGCTTGAGGTTCCCATGCTGCAATAGAACGCTTTGCAGTCACCACAACGGCCACATGGTCAACCATTACTTGCGCAGGGCACCGATAGACTTCACTTGCTAAACTTCCGCTGAGAAGCTACAAAAGTGCGTTAACGAGCGATTTTGAAGACGCTAGTCCCACTGTCACGGTGGTTACCAGCTGCCCACATTCATAGTTAGCCAGACTATCCTAGTTCGTAGCTCAGAACGTGAACACCCGCTTTGTTTACATTGTGCCGCGCTCTCTGCACTAGCTGCTGGATAGATAGATGAATTGATGTAGCTGTACCCTTTGGATATGGCAGCGGCTAACGCCACTTAGCGGCTGGAAGAACCAATGGATTAATGTGGCTGTACTCTTTGGATAGGGTGGCGGCTAACGCCATTTAGCGGCTGAAAGAACAAATGGATTAATGTGGCTGTAACCTTTAGAAAGGGCGGCGGCTAACGCCACTTTACGGCTGGAAGAACAACTGGATTGATGTAGCTGTACCCTTTAGATCGTAGGACAGTGGCTAACGCCACTTAGTGGCTGGAAGAATAAATGGATTGATGTGGCTGTACCCTTTGGATAGGGCGGCAGCTAACGCCATTTAGCGGCTGAAAGAACAAATGGATTAATGTAGCTGTATCTTTTAGATAGGGCAGTGGCTAACGCCACTTAGCGGCTGGAAGAATAAATGGATTGATGTGGCTATACCTTTCGGATAGTGCAGCGGCTAACGCCACTTAGTGGCTGGAAGAATGAGTAGATTAATGTGGCTGTACAGTCGCGGCCACCGTTAGAGGGAACGCGGCACGCGTGGCCGCTCTCCTCGGGCCACCAAGCAGGCGCCGCGCGAAGTATTGCGGCGCAAGCGCAATCAGCGCCAGAGGCGGAGTCGGCTGCGCGTCGTCTGCTACGGTGCCTCCCACTTCGCCGCACGCGCTCTGGTCCAAAATACTGTAGCTATGGAGCTGGATAGAAAGTATTTGAACTGGGTTATCTCGGCGCGCCAATCATGCTACACCTAGTATTCGGCTTCGAATTTCAGACGTTCGTTTTTGTCGCAAAATGAAGTTGGTCGCTGAAATTTCACTTGGTTACAAAAGGAAATAGAGCACGTGGCTAATATTAACAGAGTGTGCCTTGCTTGGATGCTTCGCATGTCAAACAGCGCATTTAGGCGACGAAAGTTACGCCCACTTTTGATAAAACTCTGCTCGTTATGAGTTTAAAAGGGACTGCATGTGTTCTTAGTGTGGCATTTCGTCAAAGCAATACCTTCCGGCATGGCCAGAGTTCCTGAGAGTGAGCGCTGGGAAATCGTCGAGCTCTATTTCAAGGGTAGGTCGCAGCGAAAAATCGCCGAAGCGACGGGAAAAGCGCTCAAGACAGTCAACAGGAACGTAAGAGCATTTAAATCTTGCCGCCGGATCAAGGATGCTCCGCGGAAGCCGAGGTCTGGAGTTACAACTGAACAAGAGGATGCTTGGATCGTTGCGGCGGCAGTCGTGAAGCCAGGTCTCTCTGCTCAGTAAATCAAAAATACCCTCGACTTGAGAGCATCCGTGACAACGGTCAAGCGACGCCTCCGGGAAGCGGGTCTGAAGAGCAGGATTGCAGCCCAAAAGCCTCTTCTTCGCGCTCAGAACAAAGAAAAACGGCTGCAGTTTTCTCGACAGCATGCGCAACGTTGAACTGAGGAGTGGAAGCAAGTCGTCTTCACAGACGAGTGCATGTTCACTACATCGTGCGATCAGCAAGCCCGTATTTGGCGCCCTGACAACACCCTGTAAGCTACACGAGAATGTGTTTTTGGAAACGTGCTTTTCGTAAGAAAGAAATGTCCTTCCAGCATGGGCTTCCAATTTTGTACTGTGAATACGTTTAAATGGGTGTGTCATTCCGTTTACATGCACACATCTCGAGACTCCCGGATGCTTTCGTTTTCATGATGATTATTGATTATGAGGTTTAACGGCCGACGCTACACAGGCGATGCGACGCGTCGTAAGGGGGGGGGGGGGAGGCGCTCCGGAATAATTTTGACCACCTAGGAATCATTAACGTGCACCCAAATCGTTTAGAAGAACGCAGTGACGACTTATGAGACTGCGGTTAATCGTAAAGGCATTTCAAACACTGCACGTTTAAACATAGCTTGAACAAGTTCGTAACGGCTTCAGCTATCTGTACGTTTCCTTATTTTATGCGTTCACAATCGGTAGTCTAGACACCCAAATGTTCTTTTCTTTTTTTCCTTGATGCAGGTACAAGCCAAAGTTCTTACAAAGAGTCTCGAAAAGCGGAAGGTCAACTGTAGGTGTTTCGGGCATGATCACAAAAGATGGTCTCAGACCTCTTGTGAGAATCGACGGTAAGTTCACAGCGAACAAGTACTGCGAAATTTTGACCACAGTGGCCCATCGCGAACTTGCAAAGGTGCACTTCTCCGGGGCTGGTCCTGTATTCCAACACGACCGTTCGCCTGTGCACACTTCGAAGAAAGTTGAAGCCCTACTACGCCAGCTCAACATCGCCGTTTTAGAGTGGCCGCCCCGGTCACCAGACTTCAATATTATTGAAAATATTTGGGGCCAAATGAAAGCGACACTCGCATCCAAGCCCCTCCATGGAATGTCAAGGGACAGCCTTTGGAGAGCAGTCCACGCTGAATGGGAACGCCTTAAGGTGGATGCCACCCTTGTGGATTCGTTATACAGTTCCCTGCCACGTAGGATGGCTGCCGCGATTGCCTCCGGGGGAAATGCAACCAGGTATTAAAATTCGCCTTCGTCATTAGTTCGGACATTGCGCCCTGCTGCCTCGATTGTCTCCGAAAGGAAGGAGACCATAATCTAAGCTTCATTTGCAGCCGTGGTCCTGGCTTCATTGTATAGATAATTAATCTGAAGCACAGATTTATCAGTATCTCTTGTTTGTCGTGTGATTTTTTTTTACTTCCTTAGCATGCCAATTATGAAACCCACCCTCTGTGATCAAACGGGACTTTTAGAGGTAAAAGGCGCAGTTATTATTAAGGCGTACAGCATGCCTGCGCGCTTTCATAACTGCTTTATAATAGTATTCATTGACGCGCCATTGCTACAGGGTTTGTGTATTCCAAAGCGCGCGCGCAATCTAGGTTTCGAGGCGAAGTGGGAGGCACCGTAGCAGACGACGCGCAGCTAACTCCACCTGTGGCGCTTATTGCGCTTGCGCCGCAATAGTTCGCACGGCGCCCGTCGTGGCACTCCGCGAAGCGCGGTCACCCGCTCCGTGTTCCCTCTTGCAGTGGCCGCGACTGTACCTTAGAAGTGCGACAGCTTGGGCCAGTTGGTATGGCATGTCTTGGTTAACAATGCTCCCGTCTGGCCTCAAACAGTAGAGAACTACTCCGAGAATCATCATAGATCCTTTCCTTGGCAATTTCCTGCTTAAAAGTTCGATAGATCTCTAGTGCGGACTTCTTAATCATGCCAATTCTCCAGATGTCACTCTGTTTCCTTCACCTTCTTCTTGAACGGTTGTTATTTTTGGTTTGGCGCCCTGCTGTTTTCTTATTCGCTTGCTCCATTTTGTATCGACATTCTTCATTTAAAAGTAGCTGAATACCTTCCTAGCCCAACGCTCCTCCCCCATTTCTCTCAATCTCTTCTCAAATTTTATCTTGCTGCTAGCTTCCCTGCCCTCAAATGATGTCCATCCCATATCACCTTGTACTCCCTGATTTGGTGTATTCTCGTGAGCTCCTAAGGCAAGCCGACCTATTCCACGTTGCTTAATTTCTAATCTTGCTTGAACATCTGATCTCATGCACAAGACCGCGTTGCCGAACGTCAGACCAGGAACCATGACCCCTTTCCATATTCCTCTCACAACCTCATACCTATTGTAATTCCACAGTACCATATTTTTCATCACTGCTGCATTCTTGTTACCTTTAGCTGTTACGTGTATTTCGTGTTCCCTTAGGTACTCGGTCCCATTGCTTATCCATACGCCCAGATATTTGTATTGATCTGTTATCTCTAGCGTGACCTCCTGTATCCTAAGCTCTCTACCTTCATTATCATTAAAAATCACGACTGCTAGTTTTTCTTTACTAAATCTGAAATCAAACGTATCACTCATTACCGCAGATGTCCATCAATCTCTGCAAATCTTCCTTGTTGTCAGCAATTAGCACTATATCTGCGTACATCAATGCTGGTAGTGCCTGTTCAATGAGTTTTCCTTGTTTGACGAAAGAGATGTTGAAGCGAAGTCCACTTCCTCCTAATTTGGCCTCTAATTCTTGTAGGTACATCATGAATAACAGGGGTGACAGAGGCCACACCTGCCTAAGCCCCCGTTTTACCTCTGTGGGCTTGGATACCCGTTTTTCTCACTTTATAACTACCTTGTTACTTTTATAGATCTCCTTTAAAAGATTAGCTACTTCATCTACTACACCTAGTGTGTCCAGCACTCCCCACAAGTACTCTTGAACCACGCTATCGTATACGCTCCCTGCTCGCTAGCGAGTGCTACGACACCTGTCGTAAGTGAAAACCACATTTTGAACGAAATATTAATATTTTGCAAAAATATAAAATGGGAACCGCAATTATTAGCATGATGGTGTGATATTATTATTAATGTTAAGGTATTTTTTATTGACTTTATATTGTAAGTAGCTATATAATTATTAGCATGTGTGCCTACTTAGGATGGCTGCAGAAAGAAGCGCGAAATTCAATTTCAGTTTTGAACAAGCCATCAGAAATAAAGCTGCTCTCTCCCTTGATGAAAAAAAAATAGTAAGTGGTACTATAGTGCCTAGAATATAGGCACTATAGTGGTACTTAAAGAAAGACTGGCTTCAAGAAGGAAACTTTTGCTGGAGTACAGCTCAGGGCCTAACAAAAATTCAGGGAACCCGTGTTATAGTAGCCACTAAAGGCGTCAGTTACAGGGAAAGGCTGGAGTTATACAGTGACTGGCATAGGTGCGCCTCCTCCCCACCCCGCCCATTAAGTGCTTTGTTCCGGTCCGAGTACCTTAACTGCGTCAGTATGAAGCAACATTTTGTTCGAGAAATGTATTTTAGCACCGGCATGAGCCCTGCGAACAGTGGTGGATGTTGTGGAGGGAGGGCAATTTTTGCAAGCATTTCCCCTCCTCCCTTCACACCCACCGTTCAAATAGACCAAAGTATAAAAAGTGAAAGCAGGTACTTTTCTGCTCAAAGTTACGGGCCACTTCCGACATGCTGGAGATTCATACAGTCCTAG